CTTCATTAAGTACGGGACAACTACAATAAATGTGAAGTCAGAAGACAACATCCAGCCAAGAATCCATCATTATTCGACCCATTCAACCGCGCACCATCATGGCTGATGTAGTCCACGTCTCCATGGGAAAACTCGCAAAATCAGGAATCTGGTCCAGTCTGGTTAGGTGGCTTTGCTTAAAGCACCAAAGAAAAAGGGCGAAAACTCATAAAAAGTGCAGAGGAAATTGGTTCACCAGGCGGTTTAGGGAAAAAACACCACAGTAGGCCGAACTAGCCATACCTAGAAGCCACAGAGACTTCACGAAGGAGATTGGCATGTAAGGTGGCTTTGGTTAAGGCACCGCACAACACAGCATTGCACATGCCAAGAACGTCATTTTTCAGCACAAGCGCTCGTGCTTTGATCGCAACAGCTTCCCAGCTGCATAAACCCAAGGAAGCACGTCTTCAGCGTGCTCTAGTTTACTGCCGACTGACAGTCTTGTTTCATGACATGCGCTGAGCAGTACAGCTTCAAGGAGTGCATGTACTCGCGGGCATGACAGAAACATATGCTCGGTGGTTTCAAGGACCTCGTCAGTGCAGAAGCCACAAGGTACACTGGGGCCAGGATGGCCATCCTTTCTGGAGAAGTACCCTTGTAATTTCAGCTGGGCCCATGCTTGTGCACCTTTGATCGTGATTCCCCACGAGGAAAGTGAGGCCACCGTCCATGCATCTGGCGAAAAGGATCTCCAGTGCTGCATATTTTTCGGGCAAGCGAACCACACGCGCTGTTCACTGGCTCGAAGGGCTGGGAGGATCACAGTATGAGCATGACTGTGCAGCTTGGCCTTAAGCTGCTTGGTGGATGCATCGTCACAACCATGAGGCACCAGCGGAAGTCCTTCGCAACATCAGTTATAACCAAAACGGTGGGCGACCCTTCCCCCCTTAGAACCGCGCGTTACGACTCGATTTCGGAAGTTATAACAAAATCGCTTCCCCCGAGTCAACCGCGGGATATTTGAGTAGGCTGTAAAGTCGACTCCGCATGTTCAAGGCTCACAAGAAGTCATAAGATTTGCTCTTTCCCCCATGTAACCGCGACCGACACACAACATGGTCTGAAACTGTCTACTGTACCGAACAGTGGGCTTGGAACCCACAATAAGCGCAGGACAACCGCGAACCACGTACTCCTACGCGCCGAAGTTCTTGCATGTCGCGTTTTTTGATGCTTCCCCCATCTGCACACACGCAACGAGTGGGGTCGCTGCAAAGTCGTTGCATTTGCCGTTCCCGCCAGGGCACACCTCCCGCACACCGTCCTCCAGAAGTGAACAACTCATCTGAAAACCTGCGTGCTGCTGCGCTGCTGTTCGTTTTTGCAACATTCTGCAAGTGCACACCTCCAGGGACAGGTGAAGAACGGCCCCCGAGATGCACGCACTTAGTCTTGATCTTGATATATGTGTTGAGGGGTCCCAGAACCTCCCATGCAGCGCCAAACCCGCGTACCAAGCGTAGATCTTCAAGCGGCTCCCGTGAGGACCCCAAACCCACGTGCAGTCGTTGCATGTCGTTGCATTTGACGTCCCCGCAAGGGCACACCTCCCCCCAGGAGCAAACCACTCATCTGAAAATGTGCGTGCTCCTGTTCACTTTTCCAGCATTCTGCAAGTGCACACCTCCGCACCTACTACTACTACTACTACTACTACTACTACTACTGCGACTACTACTGCGACTACGACTACGACTACGACCACGACGACGACTACGACTACGACTACCATGTAAACGCGCGATTTCGTAAGCACCCGCACAAGAAACACATCAGTGGCGTCGCAGCAAACAGCAAATCAAAACCAGCCATTCCCCATGTGGGCGCTCGATTTTGCAAGCACCCAGCAACACAGAAAGAACGATTCTCCATGCAAGTTGCTGTAAATTCAGCTTCAGCAATCAAACCTCACCAATTCCGAATCAACGTGATCACGAATCCCCAAGTAGACGCTCGGCGATGTACTCCCCCGGCAGCGTGGGCTGGGATCCAAAAAACATGATGCGACTTAGCTGTGTCACCGTAGGGTGTGGGATGCATATCGTGCTCTTATGTTCAGGGGCTTTGGCAATGGGAGTAGTCTACCTCTTAGACCGCGGAATGTTACGACTTATGGTTTTCGCTCCCCCGAGTGTCTGCAGTGATTTACTGACACGTGTTACGACTTCAGTAGTGCCCTGTAACACGACGCCAGGATTGTATGCCCTTTGTTTGTGCGAAGGCTTGCTTGCCAAGTGTGCCTGACCTGGCCTCCGGCTCTTATCCAGTCGAACAAAACCGGCTTGGAGGGCTAGATATGCTTGGATGCTGGGTCTGAATGGGCACGGTTACAACCGTGTGCGCAGGTAGGGGTTTGCCATAGCAGGCAGAGTGAACATCGGGGAACTCAAAAGAAGAAGGTAGAACACAATCAAAGGAACAGCGCGCCTTCCAGATGCCATCACCATCGGACAGTCGGGATGGGGTCAAAACAGGTGGTTGCACAGGGCTTATACAGAGATTCAAACCTGTTCGTCACCAGGACACCCTTATCACAGGCCGTGATGGCCGCGCTGACGTGGACAATGTTCGCCTGCAGGCAAAAGGCAAGAAGGACTGCGGCGTGCGCTGGGAGCTGCCTCCAGAAACGAGTGGTCCAGGTCCCTGAGCAGCTGAAGCGCCTGCACAAGTAAGCTGATCTCTTGACTGGTCCGCAGCGAGCTGTCACCAGCAACCCGGACCACCATTTTCTTGCCCGCGCCTGGGGCCAGGCTACATGGGAGGCACAAGCGGTGATGGCTGCGCAAACTGCCACTCCACTGTGGCACCCCAGCCGTCCAGCAAGAAGATGCCTCATGAAGGTTGGTGCACTCTTTCAATCGTAGCAGGTTACAAATACCGGTGGCCCCAGTCGGGATCGCTGAAGCCTGACACTGGTGGCACAAGCTGACGACAAAGCTTGAGTGCCTCACCGTAGCCTGAAGCATGACTAATTGCCAATCAGGGTGCAGTGCAGATTGCCACTGTTTGCTGCGTGCGCAGCTGATGATGTTGTGGGAGTGGTCGGTAGCCTCAACATGGGACATACGCCACAGAGTGGCGACTCACCAAAGCCTGTGCAGCTTCGAAAATCAACCTGGCTGCTACGGGCCAAAAAAACAATCACGGCAGTTGGACAAAGTTTTAATCGAGAAACTTGCAGGGAAGCTGCAGCCCCGGAAGTTGGGCGGACTGAATCTTGTGGCATCTCGCCGAAGCATGGCAAGCGAATTCGTCTGGATTCAGAGAGCAGTCGGAGCTGCAAGGTCGAGGCCTGCTTCTGGAAGCAGTAAGCACACAAATCAGCTGAAAGTAGCCGGTTGACCCTTACCAGCTGTGTACGCCATAGACCTTGAGCCTTGGAGAAATAGTGAAAGCGACACGACGTGCGCAGGCCATGTGCAGTTTCGCTGCTGCTCTACTGCCGTGGTCGTGGATCCATCATGCACCTTCAACTCTGTCTCCCTGTCTTCTGCAGAGTGATTGATTCATCCAGCCTGTCCCAGCTGCCCTGGGGTGCACGCCGACATCACCATGGCACGGTTGCGCTCCTGCAACTCAAGATAACTCAAGCTGATGCTTTCATTGCTCCGAGATTCCCTTCGGAGTCTCTGCCCGCCCGTCCACCACCAAATCTCTGAACCGTTTGTTCCTACTAGTAAACTAGTACGCATCACCACTTAGTGCAGCACTGTGCCGCGACATTAATGCTTTTTCATACTTTGGTCAGAATTGAGAGTTCAGGGAGAAGCAGCGATTGTGACAAACCGAGGTTGGGACTGCCAGCCACGAGCTCAGAGACTGCGCGGACTGTGCCTGTCATCTTCCGGCTTGACGGAAGCAACATCCACGAATCCACCAACACATGAGTCTGTCCGCACGCAACACTGGCTTGAACGCAGCCTGCCCATCATCAGGAAGATTTCGCAACGATACAGTTGCCTGGCAGCTGTGCAGGCTTGGCTTGCGCAGGTCTTCCGTGCAGCTTTGCAGGGCATGCGGGCATTGCCACTTGCAGTGCAGCGCAGGCCTCGTTGAGATCGATTTCCACAACGAGCCGCACTCCCTTGGCAGTTGGGCACAGGTCGGCTGCTCTAATGCAAAGAATCCTCGTCCGATTTGTGCAACATGCAACGTGTCAACGCACCGTGGCCTGTGCCGGTGCCATGGTCGTGCTGCAGTTTTGGGCTTCAGCGCAGGAGCCTCCACGAGCATATCAAGAACAGTCAGGAAGCGGAAGAAGGGCTCACCTGGCCAAGGTCAAGTTGCTGGCAGGGCATAGCTACCCATTGGTCGCGAAGACAGCATGCAGGTAAGACCTCTTTGCTGCATAAGCTTCCTTTCGAACCCCTTGTGGATCCGTTGCGCAGAACTTTCGTGACCCAACCAGGCAGCGCTGACTTTTGCCGGTCATCTCCTGCGAGGGCGACAAGCCGAACTAAACAACCGGTTCGAAAGATGTTCTGGAGTGCCGTAGAGCCATTCATCCAAGAATCTACACGATCACACGACCAACGGAATGCCGACATGTGTCCTGTGTCTCCATGCAATGCTGGAAAAAGCCCTTCCCACAACACTGCTCGCTGCACACTTCTTGCGGCGCACCCCGAGACCCAAAGGGCGGCAAACACCTGGCTGGCCAACCTGACAAAGCGGCCGTACGGTCATCGCACATGCAATTGCACTGCCAGCCAGCATGCGCGTGCGAAGCGATCTGAAGCGATTCAAGCCAGCATGCGCCTGGAACGCGACCCCGGCGGCCGGGTCAGCCATCAAGCCAACCTTGAAAACGCTAATCGTCGCGCTTCGGAGAAGTCACAGGTGCTGGCAGTGCCCTTCAGGAGACACTGGCAGCTCAACAACAAACCTAAGAAAGGACGACAACTTTTTCGAGTTCCCTTGATTCTGATGTGGCGATCCTGCTTCAGCAGAACAACGGCACAAGACAATTGCCAGTCCTGGCAAAGCGGTTGGTTTTTGATTTCTCCGATGCGGCTGGTCCTGTGTCCCAACTGACGTGACTGCACAGCTGCACAGCAGAACAGTCTCGAAAAGATCTCTGTACAAGGGGCAGTTTCCGAACCCTGGTGGCTGGAAGCCGCCCAAGTCCAGCTTTGATTTAGGGAGGCTTCCAAATCAAATCTCCTTGCAGGAGAAGTACAGTACTGGAAAGTGAAAGGCTTGCAGCTGTCGTGCTCCGACGAAGCCTCTGGGCTCTGTGGGTCTGGGTGCACATTTCGACTAGCTGGACGGCCGCTAGATTTAGACATTGTCGGATCAAGCTCGACACCCTTCTAATGCCAAAGCCTTGCATCTTGAACAAAACACAGCTGACTCGTTGCTTGCGTTCGTTTGGGCACCTGGACCCGAGGGCCAGCTACGGGTCGGTCGCCATTACGGCTCAAAGAAAGCACGGTTAGTCAGCGAGTTCCACCACCACAACGTCTCAGGCGTGTTCGGGTCACAGAACTGATACCAGCATGATGTCTCGGCTTCGTCAGTATAGAACCAATCGTTGTTGCGGGGGCAAAAGAACCAATGGCGGCCCTCGGCATCTTGATACCGCTCCCACACTTCCAAGATGTAGTCCTGCGTTCCCACCTCGCAAGTTCAAGTTTGCATCACACACCCTCGCATTTTATAAGCTACCTGTGGTTGTGGTCATCGCCCTGTTTGGGGCCTGCTCTGCACGCGGCCGCAGATCTGGCGGCTCCTGGCACAAGCATTGCAAGAGCAGCGTCACCAGGCTTGGCTGCAAGGAGGCTGTTCCAGCCAAATTTCTGCGGGCTACCGGCTAATTACAGAAATGATATGCTACAGAGGCTGGGGGAACAGTGAAGAGCCGTGTTTTTCTCGGCGCCGGCTATCTGCCGACTGCCAGGAACTTGCGGGGCTTCAGGGCAACGGCATTGAAACGTGTATGGAAGAAACGGTTTCCCTCGGTTCCATCGTTCTCGAGCAGCTGTTCACGAATCGGAATCATCCCGCGCCCCGTTCAAGAGTGCTGGACTGCTTGGCCAAGTGCAGTCCTCACCCCTCGGCACGCTTGCGAGGTCTCCGGAAGGCGCTGGCTCTTCCCCAGGCTCCGGCGCCTCTTGAAACGGCTCTGGCACCTGTGGACACGGCAAATGCCGACGAGAAGGACTGCAAGGCTGCAGAGGGCAACAGGCTGCCTGAAACCGGAGTCTTGCGAGTGTCTACTAGCACAGTTACATGCATTGGCAATTCGGGCAGTCATGTTGCCAGGCCGAGCTGCAGGACCCTGTCCAAGCGGCGCCGAATGTTCCGTGAATATGTATATAACAGCCAACAAGGATTTTGCACTGATTTTGCTGTCAAAACGGTGCACCGACTTCCCGGTCGTGAGACGTTGGTTGAGTCCTCCCTCCACGTCCAGGTCCATGTTTCATGACGATCTTGCTACTGTGTCGGCGTGTCGTTTTGTCGTCGTAGTGACTCAACAGGATCCAACGAGGATACCGACTGAATCGACATCAGTTCATCTCTCGGTGGATGACCCTAACGGTGGCGCCAGGAATGTCGCCTCGAATACAATGCTTTCCATGTCTTCAGGGGCCTGACATCCCGTTTGCAGCGTAGCCGCCGGTGCGAAACCGATCCCACAAGATCGCAGAACTTGCTTCTTTGTGTTGATTGCTGAATGAGTCGGGGGTATATGTGTGTTTTGCAAGTTCGACGCTGTATGTTGCTGCCTTGCTGTTCGGGTACTTTCAAGAATATGTCGGCTCTGCTTGGGCAAAACATATAAACCAATGTGCGGACTGTCAGCGGCCTCGTTCAGACATTTTGCATGTGGCAGGGGCTAGCAGCAGAAGGGAGCACTTCAGAGACTGAGAGACAGAGGGAGAGGACACATCCCCCTAATTCACGACCAGCACGACCACGACCATGACAACTTAACAACCGCAGGAGGCTGGACCACCACACCCGTTTTGGTTCACACATCTGAACCCTTGCGACAATTTCCTCGCCTTGTCTGGTTGGTTTCCAGCCATCGGTCCACCCATGTACTGACGGGAGTCAGAGTTGCGGAGAGCCCTTCTCTGCAGTCTCTGTCTCCAATATGCTTCCCCAAAAGTACTGTCGGGTTCAGATACATGACCCAAATGCTTCGCCCAATGCACTGGTCGGATTCAATCGTTTCGTCGCACAGCATGTTGGACATGGGCGTAAGCTATGCTCTGCCCACAGCAGGAGCGTGGAGTATTCTGCGTGACACTAACCAATTCTCTGTTCCCTACCACATTCTTGGGGAATCACATGCAGGCATGAGGAGGTACGGCTCGCCGGGCATTTCGTTAAAGAACTTGTCCTGTTGCCCTGCTAACACACGGCACAACGCAAACAAGCCTGATGAGCTCCAGGTGCTTCATGCATTTCTGCTTGAAGGGCAGCACTGAGATTCGAGACTTGGGTGTTGATTCCACCAAAGCGATCCCAGGTCCGCCTGGTTCGCCGACTGCCCACAAGAATGGCATTATCTTGCTTGCACTTTTCTGTCCTTTGCAAAGCTTTTAGCATCATGCCAAGGTGCTCTATAAATGCCGGCGCAGGCGAGCCTGCCTGCCGTTCATCTCGAAGCGGCGGCCTGGTGGCTCTTGCTGGTCCAGGAGTCCGTGTCCTAGCCCTAGCCAAAATCTCCAATCTCTCCGTTTGCAGACCCGTCGCCAGGCCCCAGCATTGAGAAAGTCGTCGTCGTGAATTGCATCATTCACCCCCACTGCATGCGACCAAAAGCGATCTCTACCCTGTACCTCGAAACCAATTTGCTTCACCGTCTGGCTTACAAGTACCACTTCCTGACACCATGACATGCGTGTCTTTTGCAGCACTGGGCACCGATTCCTCGGTTGCTTCGCTCCCGCTCTCGATGGTGGCGAGCGGTGGTGATCGTGGCGTGGCCGAGCCGTGAGATGAGACTTCAATGGAATCCATCAAAGCTGTGTCCTCAGCGTTTAATGGGGCCCGGCATCGCAGGACTCTGTCACGTGTCTCCGAAGCAACTGTTTACACCAAGTTCGTTTTGTTCAGCTCCGGACTTGCACTGTGCTCGGGGCGACTACACATCAATTTCTCAAGCAAACTCACCCATTGCGAGCAGCTTGACACTTCCACTTGACACTTCCATGTGCTAGACGGCAGGCCAAAGCAGTAGCCTCCCAAAGTCCAAGTCTCGTCCGCTGTGATACGGAATTTGCACAACGGACATTCGTCGCTGCGACAAAGCCACTCATCGATGCAGCACTGGTGGTACCTATGAAAGCATGGTAGGATGCGGAGCTGCTGCCCCTCGACGAAATCCTCCAAGCAGATACAGCACCTTAGCCACAGGAGCGTTGGAAGACTGGCACTGGCAGACGAACTGTCCACACTGCATACTCGTACTCTCAGCTTCGGCTCGCACACTCGCGCCGGGCACAGCCCTTCACGCTGAATGTCCCATGCTTGCTACTGCTACGGCGACATGTAGGCCATGTAGGTAGGACTGTAAATCAACGCAAAGCAGAATTTAAAGTAGCCAAAGCCAATTCATACGGCTTAGTGACCTAAGAACCACGGACCACGAAGTCGGGCACTGTAGCAACAATCAACAGGATCCCGATTGTGACATGTGGTGGCAACAAATCGAACATGCCCTCGCCTCAGTTCACCCTACCACATCAAGAGTTGCCGGGCCCATCCAGACAGCCGAATTGATTCTATGCGCATGTATATCAAACCGAGGAACTTCTTGGATGCAGAGTCACAAGCCTGCCGAGACAAAATGACCCTTTGCAGTAGGAAGAGACACGCATAACGGGGCCTCCCCTCGCACATCCTTTTGCTTGAAGGTGTAAAGTGCCTCAGCTCAGGCAGTTTCGAATTTAGAGGACAGGCTTGCACTTCGTCGTATGACAGCTCAACTGCACATCCCGCGGTCTCTCGGAAGCTGAATCTCTAAGGCTTTCAATACGTCAATACGCTTGTGGCAGGACACTGTGTGGGCTTCGATCACCCCCCTCGCCAAAGATCGGGTCGAGCTCAAGGACGCAACGCTTCCGATGTCCCAGACAGTGACGCCAACGCCGAGGCCAACACCTGCTGAATGCGAGTGGGAAGTCGTTCCCAGGCTCGGCCCGACTTGGTGCGATTTGCAAAATGTGGGGCACATGGCCGCCAAGAAGATATTCTGCAGCGTGTGGTCAAGCTCACTCCGTTCGAATGATCAGGTGTACAGCAAACCCCCGTCTGGAAACGAATGTTACATGGCAACGCTTCACCAGATGACACTGAAAGCTTTATGTTCAATAGCACAAGCGTGCGTTTTAAGTTTTAAATGTGAGGCAACTCTCCGAGGCTACACTTCGGAGCTGCCTCCGGGAAAGACAAGTCCAGGTGGAATCGGTGGAACCGGGCCAGGCATCGGAGCACCAGGCGGAGGACCGGACCCGAAACTGTCCCGGTCCCGGCCTTTGTGATGGTGAGTGGTTGCTGCTCCTACTAACACCGCCCTTACCTCTACCAGTCCCAACGGCTACATGACGCCAATCCGCTAATCACTACACATGTCGCGCATTCCGGTCTTTTGACTGCATCGCACAGAAAAGCAGCTTCAGAGTTGGTGATGGAACCTGTCGAAAAAGCAGAAATGGGTACTGACTCCTGCGACTTGCAGATTGCCACCATTCTGGCTTAAGGACCAACTTCTCCAGTCCAAATGGCCGTGACCAAAGCTATCGCCGCGATGAAACACAACCTGCAGAGCGTGGTAATTGAGCTTGTTCTTGGCGTACATTCGCGAAAAGGTGTGCAAATGCTTCGAAAAAAGTCATGTAAAGGATCATGTCAATGTGAACCTGCGACATCTCGAAGTACGGTGGACGAGGAGGAGGAATCGACGGCGGTGGAGCTCTTGGTGGCAAAATGACCGGCTCCTACAAGGCACTTCGTCAATAAGGGGAAACATTGCTCGGCCTATAAGCATGTGCAGACGTTAAAGGCCGCAAAAAGAAACGTTAATGCCTCCCGACTCATCTAGCCATAACTAGCCGTATCTATACCGTGCTCATGCACGTAGGCGCTCTTTCCGGCCTCTGTACGCAAAGAGCCCATCCATGTCGTCTCCAATGAGCTCTGGCCCATATCCTACCACTGCGCACGGCAAGAAACAGCTCGATGAAACCGGCGCATCCCACATCTGACTTTGGGATACTTTGCGCTTTCACGAATGCAGCTCCAAGGCATGGCTTTAGCGTCTTAACATCGAAGTAACTCATAGTCGAATCTGGGTTGATGCTCTTGAGAACCGGCTGCCTGACGGGTCGCTTCGGTGAAGGCAATTCTCGGGGCCTCAGCAAGTCAAGAACGTTGCGCAAGCGGTCATTAGGCTGAGCATGTTACAGAAAAACATTAACTGCTCGTCCGCTGCGCTGGAAAAAGGATTCGTTATAGGGCTCTCACAGGCATCGGAACATCATGTCGCGGCAGGTTGCGGACATTGACGCCAGTGCCTCGTTGCTTCAGGAATTGCACGACAGGGCCCAATTCGTCCGCACACAGGTGTTATGATGAGGGCTCAACGTGTCGGAGATTGGTGGTATGCGGTTGGCAAGTCGTAGTCCTACGTAGTTATCCTGGCCGGCCCAGCCAGCTTGCTCGTAGAACAAGACACCACAGTTGTTCAGGATGCACAGCGCCACCTGCAATCCTCAAGTGGGCCATGGCTGCGGGGCACGAGCCGCGAGAAAACGAGACGAAACATCAGCGCACAAATTTCAGAATATCAAACACCGGGAGTGAAGAACCCAAAGCCCTTACCATCGACGCGTCAGACATCAACGAAAAGAAGAATGGCCAGCAAACCTAGGGTTTTCTCTCAACTCTGGGCTCTGATCTGAAAGCGCCTGTCTCGAGCCCGACCCCAATGCTTTGATGATCTTTGGTGTTTGTATATGTAGGCCGACACCCGGACTTCGATGAGCTCCGAAGTAAGCACACGTGGGTCGGTTGCCAGAACCATGCGAAACTTCAGGTTCGTGACAGGACGTATGGATGCGCATGCCCATCTCGCACAGAAGGTGCAAGCATGCGCAAGTGCAAGTTGCAGGTTGGTGCTTGGGCCTCAGGCCCCAAAACTTTGACTACAGGTGTCCAACTGCTTCACTCATTGCCTGCGGCGGTCGAGAAATGACGCAGAAATCTCTGCTTGCCACGAAGCTGCCTGGCTGGCTGCCTGATGACGTCGCTCGCCAAGGGCCAATGTGGCCTGGTTTTGCCCAAAACTTCAGTTGTCACGGCGAGGGGTGTTCTGTTCTGTTCTGTTCTCCGGGGTACGAGGAGCGAGTTAAGCTCCCCGCGCCGAGTGGCGCGCCCCTGTTTAAGGGCCTTGTAGGGAATCTTAATAAGACATGGATGCTCGGTGTCCCTCCTCTCTCCCTCTCTTTCTCTCATTCTCTTCCGAGTAGAGGGTATCAGCTCAGCAACTTCTCGCCACAACCTAGCCCATTCCCGCCTGGTTCGCGCGAATGGACTGGTACTGATGGGGGCGGGACGTTCAACGGCTCGCTCAACGGTGCGAAGAAGAATGGCCGTGTATCAGAACTATGAACCGCAAACCCATCCCAGGAGTCTTCCCATGGGTTTTCGCTGTCGAGGGTTGCCCAGCCATTCCAAGGATCTAAGTCCCCACTGCTCCACGGATCACGACCAGCTGCAATGCTCCATGGGTCCCAAGGGTCATGGCTGTGCGTCCCATGGTGTTCTGCAGCGTCTCGGGTGCGCCCACGCCAAGGTAAGCGAGGAGCTGGAGGAGCTCGAGGGCCCGAGCCTGCAGCGGCCAGAATTACGCATGAGAAAGCATCGTATACGAGCAACGAGAACAGAGAATCCACCTCTAACTTCGTAAGCCACTTGGCTGTACAGTTGCTGGTGAAGCTGGACGCAAGTGGGTTCTAAACCCCAACGTTGAGCTCTAGAGCGAACACATTGAACGACCTCCATGCGCCATCACTACAGCACAGAAGGCTGACATTTATTGTTAAGTGCAACAGCAGGTGCTTATACATGTCGTTCGTTCCTGCAGCCTTCGTCTTCTCTCAGTTTCTACCGCAAATCAGACAGGATTGCGATTTCAGTCCGTTAGGTCGTGCAGGCTGATGGAGCCGACTGCCAAGTGTGCTCTGTGTAGAAGCAGGCGTGGCACGACCCACAGGGTGCTTTATGGATCATCCGAGGCTTGTCACTGTGCTGGAGAAGTTCTGGAAAAATAGTACACTGATACGACTCCGGAGTCAGTTATGATCATCGTGGCACATCGTACTGTGTATGAGTATGCCGCAAACACAAGGGACGTCCACGTCAATCAAGCGATGATACACTGTCGTACCGCCAAACAGTCTCCAAATTTTGAGCATATGGGGAAGCTGAGGCGTAGTGAAACAGCTCATGTCACAGCCTTGCAAAGAAGTCTCCACAGTCTCCACAACCTTCCAAAGAGAAAGTGACCAAAGTCCTTTTTGAGCCTCTGTCTCGCCACCGTGGAGCGCCTTCGGCCTCGGGGATTCCGATTTCAGCGAGCCCTGGCCCTGGCTTTGGGCAGACAGAAGACCTCGCGCTCTCTCTTTGCGGGTCATTATCCCCTCCCCTTTCCCCTGAAGTAGCGCTTTCGGGCTCCGAAGGGGGCCTCTCTCTCGCTCTCTCTCCCCCACGGGCATGAGGGGACCTCTCTCTCTCTCGCTCTCTTTCGCTCTCTTTCTCTCTCTCTCTCTCTCTCACTTTCTTGCGTGCTTGCGTGGCGTTTGGGAGACTGCGGTACGCATCCCCAACCCCCCTGCACCGAGGTGCTGCGCCTGAGTCCGAGCCCGTTTAAGTCGGCGTGAAACCGCAAACCCGAATCCCTCGCAGCCTCGTCAGCAGAGTCCTTAGTTCGCCTTAGTGATGGGGCCCCGGCTGTGAGGGATTCGGTGTTTACTTGCTGTACTGCTCCTGTTCCCGCCGAGCGAGGCGGGCTTTGCACCGTCTTTTGCAGAAACATCTAGGGGCGCTATAGGACATGGTGGATACGTGTCACTAGTTTGTCCTTGCGACAGTTGAGCTTCCAAAGTGTAGGTCTCTCTGAGTATCAGGGACTCTGTGCGGGGTCAAGAAACACGGGGCTCGGGGTACTCTCTCTCTCTCTCTTTCTTCCTCAGGGTTCTGGGAGCGTGTCAGGCTCCCCGGCAACTTAGGCCCCCAATTTCGTGGGGCACGTGGGCTGGGGTGTGAAAACTAATTACACTTTCTCTCTCTCTCTCTCTTTCTTTCTGCTGGGCGTAGGGGTCCGTCATTGGCCCGCCCAACCACCCAATGTATTATTGAGCGGTTGGCATTAGGGTCTCTCTGACCGCTGTACTAGGGTACCAACTCTCTCTCTCTTTCTTTCGCCAGGGCTGTGGTGCAGGAGGTTTCCCCCCTACCCCGCGCTAACTCTCTCTTTCTTTCTTTCATTGGGCGTAGGGGGCGTCTGAAACCCCCTGGCCTTGTGGCCCTAACTCTCTCTCTCTCTCTCTCTCTCTTTTGCTCTCCTAAGCGGGCCCTAGGGGACGTTCAACAAAACCCTGCGGGCCGATTGCGCTGCCGCAAATCTTATTTCCGCATGCTGCGGCGGTCCCTCTTGCTTGCTTGCAAGGCATTTGGGAAGCTAGGCTCGAAGCGCTCCTTGCGCGCCCCGTCACGCCCATGGTCCGAGTCCGGGGTCGGCTTGAGAGAGAGAGAGAGAGAGCCAGAGCGAGAGGGAGAGAGAGAGTGTGAAAGTGGAGAGGTTCGTTTTGGTCGATGAGCTGGATTGTTCGTTCCACATCAGCTGCCGAGTCTGTAAATCCGAAGTTTTACAGGCGAGGTCATCGGCGTCCATATCGGGCAGATCTGGAGGGGCACCGATGTAATGACATCATGCAAGCCCCAACAGCTTATGGAATGCGTGAATGAAACATGATGCATACAGGCTCGCAACATGGCATGGTCAGCCTGACGCAGCCGGCACGTGTGCGAGCCCATCTTGAAATCTCTGAGGTAGCGACTGCCATGGCGGCAAGATCCCACTGCGGGCTGCTTCGTCGCATGTACTGGATGGTCGAACCGGCCCAAAGCTACTAATGCTGTGTTGGTTTTGGGCTGATACTTTTTGACAAAGCGCTGAAGATAAGCCGTGGGGCGGTGATGAGAATCTCAATTTTGACGCATCCCTTATTTATGGACGTGATTTTCATTTCGGAATCGATTCCTGCAACTGTTAATGTGACTCGCACGCAATGCTTGTCACACCCCTGTATCGATGACTCTGTCATAGTGTTGACGGCAGAAACCATGGAACAAGAGATTGGATGTGCGGAAAATTTCACCGAAACCAACCACCCAAGCGCGATCAGCTGAAGAAGCCTCAGTGGCTGTCGTCGACGGGCGCAATGACTTTCGACAGACAGACCTTGCCCTCTGCACCACTTCGCCGTCTTCCTATGCGGACTCCATGCAGAGCATGAGTCCCTTGCTCTCTTTGTAGCACGCCTCCGCTGCCCAACAAAACGAACAGAACAAGCCCTGCCTCAAACAAAGGGGCTGCGTCTGCACCACTCCCAGAGTTCAAGCGGAAGTCAAAGCGAAAACGGCCACCGCCTGTCAGAAGGTTGTTGAGGTCCTGGGCTTACCGCCCTCCCTTACTCGGACAAGGATACGCGGAGTTTCCCTCTCTTCAACTGAAACTTGGAGGACAGCTGCTCCACACATTTCGCCTACGAGAAAAACCCAGGAAAACTGTGCAAGTTCCACAGAGAGGGTGGCTTGTGATCTCCAAACCTCCGAACTGGAATCCTATCCGGGCGACAAACTTTCGAGGCACCTGAATACAAAGAGTCATGAAAACTTCGCATCGGCAGAGCCCTTTGGCGCCTAAGCGAACTTTCACACCTCGGGCACCACGCACAAACTGCGAAGCCGTTAAAACCCCCCTCAACTTGGCTCATCAAGTCTTGTCCGGAGAAACGGCAGAGAGGCCTCCCGAGGTCATGGGCACAGTGGAGACCAGAACTTGTCTCGAACCTCCCAAAACCTGTCCATCAAAAGCAGCCACATTTGGGGGGCCAGCGCAGTCATTACGACCGACGATTCTTGTTTGGACACTGCTCACGGCCCTGTGCACAAGCACCATCGGCTTCCGTCAATAGTCGGAGTCTCGCTGCCTGCAGCTCTTGCGCTGAATTCCAACCTTGCCGCGATGGTAGAAGGGCGGGGTCACTGGTGACGATGCACAACGACACCGTGATCACAAACGAGAGCGCGCCCAAGACTAGGTCTTGGCCAATTGCAACTAACTATCGGCCGGCAAAGCGCGGACTAAGTGACCAATTCTCTTGCACTTTATGTCTTGCAGGGCGACGGATGACGGCTTTGAGTCTTGTGGTGCACATCCGGGCTGCCAACAGTGCAGGCTCGTCGAGTCATCGGCACCTTAGTGACGAGCAAAGTTCGTGCAGCTAGCAGTTCTATCGCGACATTTCCCGGTGCCCAGCAACTCAGATGCAGAGCGTCGGCGTCCTCGAAGGCTTTCAGAGCCTTGAAGGAAAAGACTCAAAACGAAACGACTGCGGCAGGAAGAGAGATGCTCTCGCCCCGGCCCACAGCACGACCTATGCTGTTCAAAGCCACGGCTTACGAAAGTGATATCAAGCTCCGCAAACATGCAGATTCAGCTTCTAGGTGCTGGAGGTGGGAACCATAGGTGTCAGTCGGAAGGATTTCGCAAGAAATTAGACATGCAAGCAGATTTGCAACAGCAATCTTTTACCACAACTACCCAATCCTGGCAACTACCGTCACGGGAGTGCAATCTCTCGCGACACGCATGCCATTTCTGAGATGTGCGGCGCAGTCTGCACGTCGCTCAGCACGGACAAAGGTGGAACCGTCTACTCGACGGGGTCGAGAAGCCTGGCGCCCCACGTACCATGCAACCAGCGGGAACAAAGCTGCATGCCATGCATGTGATGGCTATCCATATTTCAAGGCAGGCTGGACATCCTTGCCGCCCGCCCGACACAATGCCTTTGACTTCTCGACCGGCTCCTGGAATTCCTCTACCTGGCCATGCGTCTCGCAATTCGAAAGGACAGGACCCAGCCTTAGTCTCGAGAGCGAGATCGATAGCGATGCTGCAGGCACACCTCTGGGTCGCCTGTCGAGAGCTCTGTCGGGCCTGCACACATGGCTGTGGCTTCAAAGGCGTCTCATTCGTGGTAACAAGGGGCGTGCCATGCCTGAGCTGAGTGATGCAGACTTGACTTGCCCAATGCTTCAGGCATGCGGTATTCCCGGTATATCTCACAACACTCAATGAGCTTGCCTTGTTCAGCCTTTGTTTTGTGTCGGCTTTCCATGTAGGATATCTACTTTGTTGACCTTCGTCTGTCCTGGCATCTGCGATCATTATCACTAGCGCTGTTTCTCCTGCTGTGGCTGGTCGGAAACGCTCTCCGTCGAAACGTCTGCATGTACCTTCGAGGGTGCTATTCGTGCCGATCCTTGCAAACCTCTGTCTTGGCTTTGTTCCTGGCGTTTTTATTGTGGGCTTGGGCCATTGGGGCTTCAACCTCTCTTCTCAATTGAAATCTAGATCGCTGTCGCAAGCAGCCTCAATCACACGTAGCCCTGAAGCGTCGTGTAGGCAGGCTCCGTTTCGAAACTGCGCCGAGCCTTTGCTAGCCCCGTGCTGCGAGTTCTCAGGCGTCTGCCTCAGGATGTAAGCTTGCTGACGTCCATCCGTGTTGGGGATAGTGCGATGCCGCGCTTGGAGAAGAATACCATCTACGATGCAGTGCCTGGACAAATGCCCCAACAAGCCAACACTTTTCAGCACGGTTCAAAGGTCAATGCGTGTGAATTCACAGGGCCTGTCAATGGCAGTGGGCCCTGCTTTTTGCAGGAACGCAGCCGTACCGCTGCCCGAGGTTGCTTTTCGGACACGGGACATTACCCGATCATTAATCATTACTTAATACGCTCTGTCTCGTATCAGGTTTTAGCACCTAGACAACTCCGGGCAGGTCTCTCTTTCACCCTGTGCTTGCTCTGCTGTAACTACATTTGTCCAGATGATTGCGTAAGACTACGAGTACCATGCTCTACCCGCTAACGGAAGTAAAAGATCTGCTACAGCGGCAGATCTGTTGAGCTAAAGACCACAGCAAACCGGATTCTGTCACAGCTGAAGAAACTCTGGACCAGCCTCAGACGGCCTCAGGCGCCTCCTTCGCCTCCACCACCTCAAACAGCGATCTCAGTGAAGTTGGGCTGTTTCGCTACAGGTACGGCCCAGCCAGAGCTTCACTCGAGCAACAAAACATAGTAAAACAACACAACCTCGTGACATCTCGTGACAAGAAAGTTGGTTGCCCTACCCTTTCCAACGATCGCCTCCGCCCGCTGCGGCTTCCTCATCTTGAACCCATGGTTTGCCGGTGCAGTTCCTTGGCTTCGCGTAATGTCTGCAGATGTCTCAGCATGTAAAGGGTCTCGCCGATTGCGATTATTCAGGAGCTACGTGGAAAGCATCTCTTGCTCGAAGTGACTGGATCACGGCCAGCGTGTACTCTGGCAGGGTGACCTCATGCGACACTGGCCATGAAGCATACTATCTCCTGTGATACCGTTGAGTCGGCCCAGCTGGTCAAGCAGATGCATTGCAACAGTTTCAGTCCAGGCGTCAAAGATGATTTCGGTGCCCTCACGGGTTCTCAGGCGTACATTGGCGAGCTCACTTTCCTGAGCTTCTGAAGTTCGTGGCTAAGCCCTAGGCTTGAGCATGCTGGCGAGCCCGCACTGCATGCACTTCGCTACGACTCAGCCGACTCTACCAACGGGGCGTGATAAAGAACTGAAAGTATCAGATCAAGGTTCCGCAGGACCAGTCAGGAGCTCCTCACCAAGTCAAGGTTGGAGGGGGGTCTCATGGCAGTCGGAAAGGCGAAGTGCGCAAGCCTGTAGCCCTCAAATACGACTCATGGGTGGCTCTGATCCATGAAGGCGTCTAAGTGGGCTGTGGAGAGAAGGCACATCTCAGTAGATTAGAATTGAGATCAGTTGACGAACTGCTTTGCCTTCAAGCACTTCTTGCAGTGGGCAATGTAGTCAGACATGAGGGCGGCATAGATGACAGCCTGGGACAGGTGGCGTGCACGATGCTAGCTAAGACCACAAAACGAGCTCGTTACAGCCCAGCTACATTGTTACATACCCCGTATGGAAATCTATGGAAACGAGTCTGATCCACGCCGCGGACAGCATTGGCACACATTGGCATACTGAGGGCTGCACCCTCTCATACGGCATGCTCTCGTGCCTCGGCGTTTATTCGAGCTTGGAACTTACGTCCATTCTACCGTCTTCAGCACGATGAGCGCTTCGAAGCGCTCTTTTTGACAACTTCTGGTGCACGCATTTGGAGTCACCTTCTTCGCTGCAGCCCCAAGAAGGGCGGTCTAGTGTGGCAGAGGTCCCATGCCGAATCAGAACTAGCCTGGAAATTGACACGGCTGCTCATCCAAGATACCACTTTGTGGGGATGCCGTCCGAGTTGATGACCACAAAGCCGATCACCTTAATGGTTCTGCTCTGAGGTCTGTGCACGAGCTTACGGCTTGCTGTCATTCCGTCATGTTCCAAACACTAGCCCGACACTTTTTCCCGCATGGTTGCAGAGCAGCCGGGAGGACAGAAGTTCCCTGTTGCTGTACGCGTAAGGCTAGCGGCGGTGGGGTAGTCCGTCAGGAAGCCCTTGAGGATTGCATCCACCTAAAGAACAGCTCTGTGTTTCCGAGTTTGGGGGTTCAGCTGTGAAAAGACAAGCTCGGATGGGCCTCCGAAGTCTGAGCCCCAGCCATGACCTGTCCGGGTGAGTGGTCTTACCAAGACTACCGCTTGTGGCACGTTTTACAACAAAAAATCACGAGATCTTCTCCGTTAAGAGCCGGGTGATCCTGGATGCCTGACTAGCTGCACTTCGGCCTTTGAAGCCTCCACCCTTGTGTGCATGCTAGTTTACCACTGTCTCGCCACAGCATGTTTGGAGTCAAGCTCGGGACAGATTCAGGTATCAGACGAGCCGGACCTTCTAGCCGACCAACCTGGAAGGTCGGTGTCCAGCTGAATGATGTCTGCCCTCTTGAGCCAATGGAGCCGTGGCGGAAAGGATCATGCGACGTTCATGGTCACGGATGTCGGTGCGAAGGGCATGACGCGACATGCTGCCAGCGCTGCATCCCCAGAAGCTGGAACTCACGAACAGCCCAGTGCCAAGCTCGCCCTCGACTGCCGGTGCCGCAGCTTGTGTGGCGGCAAACTGCACGACCTTTGGCGTGTTTCAAGCTGCCGGCCAGCAAACCAAAACAGCTTAAGGATCCAGCTGAAGGTTGGCAAAAAAATGAACCATGCAGAGAAACTCGGGACAGACAAACTGACGAATCTGTTCAGACTCAATCGCGCACGCACGCAAGTTGGTAACTTCAGAACCCACCGGCCCTTTTGATGATGATAATGATGGTGATCCACTGATGATCCACCTCAGACTTTAAATGAACTGGAAGGCATTTGTCTCGCATGGCTTGCCGGCGAAGCAACGTTCCTGCACAAACCCAGCGATGACAGTGTCCGGCCTGTGAAGGCATGCCGCACTGCATACGCTGCGAACCAGTCGGGTCTGACGATGTGGAAAACCAGGCTCCGCGTCCAGCCGCGCATGATTCTGCCAGCTGCCCGCACTTAGTTACAGATTATGAGTGTGAACAAAGCTAATGGCTTATGGACTGCTCCATGCTGAATTTGGAGCATCGACAACACATAAGGAGTCCTGCTTAAGCATGCAGCTCGATGTCGTCAGGTTGCGGCCGTTTCCGATTCTACTTTTTTCCGATCCGGGCTGCTGAAGCTTGCAAACCAGTAACCAGTGGCAAAGAGGCAAAGAGCCCGAGCAATTAGAATGCATTCGGAAAAGTTGAAGGGTCGAAGGGACACTATCATTGTAGCTTTGTTCTTTGATTGCGAATTTTGACGGCTACTTCCCTGCGCTTCGGGACTGGGAACTCCACAGATCAAGGGCTCAAGAAAGCTGCAGTCCCAATAGCTCCCAGACCCATCTCCCCTTCAGGATGTCAACAGGTCTCAATATTTTCTTCTTATCAAAATCTCTGAGTCACACACCAGCTCTTCGTTGGGTGGGAGTAAATCCCAAAGCAAGACCTGGTGGCGGATGTAATCGCTGCCCTCAATGCCGCCCAAAGATGCAACCCGATGGGATCCACCTTGGAAAATGCCCCATCGATCTCGTCCTTGTTGGGTGACGGAAGCACCTAACACGAAGTGCAACCCTGGTTCGTTCGGGGTGCTATCCTCTACTCAACCTTCTATCACCTGCATCTTCGCCGGCTGCGCTCTGTGTCGCAGACGATTGGGACAATGCCGACGAGCCCTAAACCTTTAGTTAGGTTAGTTGCCAAACCGTAGCGGGCTCATACCGTGACTCTACATCAAACGCTACGACTCGCTCGACAGCCGGAATGCAGGCGCCACCAAGATGGAGCAACGACGAGATGATGCAAAAAGCTACATCTTACTACCCCAGGTCTTTCGATCAGACAAGATTGCCTGGCTGGCGAACCATGAATGCGCAGAACGAACCAACGCGTGACCTTGCACCGGCTCACGCCCAAGTGCCTCCACCTTGCCTTCTGCGTCTTCCGACTCTTCCGTGAATGCTGGTGCGCCTGCGCCTGAGAGCAGCATGAGAGTCATCTGACCTATACAAATTACCATTAACAGGAGCCGCTTCAGGCACACAATCAGCGAAGAGCATGCTGTCTGTGCGAATCAGTGCCACCAATGAGTCTAGCACAGTCTTTCAATACAGATCTGGTGACCGAAATTCGTGCAATTTATGCATTGATGGACAAACGAGTGTACATCGCAACATTGTTGCCGCAAAACATGACGACCATGGAACCATGTTTTGCTATGTTGGTCAGAAACATACGGATCAGATTCGGTTGACTGGTGCTGCTTCACGTTAGTGTTGCGGCCGGCCCAAGTCGGAGACAACCCGCAGCTTCAGTTCGGTCAAAATTCAGGACATCCGGGAAGCCGATGTGGATGCGAAAGACCTTCCTGGACTCAATAAAAATGACATCAAACTGCTCCCCACAAAAAGAAGTTTTTGGATTGCACCCAAGGCCCCAAGCCTAAGCGCCTGTTCGGGCCTACGATGACGGAACAAGCGGCATGAGTATAGAGTTTGCCTTCCAAACCTGGTAGAACAGGGACCTTGAGTTGACCTGGGCCAAACCTGTGGGTTTTAAGCTTGTGGTAGTCTGCACGACCTTCTTTCCGTCTCTCCTCCGGGCATCTGCGTGGGGCTTTGGCTTGGGCCACGTATCCTGCCGCTTGCGCCTACGGGCACAAGCCGCCGCACTGTGAGAAAGAGAATCGTTGACCGCGCTGCAACTGCAATCGTCGGATCTTCAGGCCGTATGAGGTGCCGGTGCTGACAGTTTATGATTCACTTGCCGATCAAATGCCATCTTCTGCTGTCGTGTGCGACCATGTCGGGATTCAACTCTGCGCACGGAGTGTCTGCAGGCAGTGTGGGCTCGATACTCTACCTCTAAAGACTCTAAAGCCTACAGTGCCGATAGAGAAACAGCTTGCCTTCCACGCACCAGCGCTTGGCAAAGCGCCACAGGCTCATCTCCTGGCATGTTGCACAACACGTGATGACATGCCTCTGACTTTAGCTGCGTATGCTTCCAAAAAGCTGTGGAACAACGAGCGATGTCCAAACTTGGGCCCCGACTTGGGGGCGGAAAAAGGGACTCTGCAGCAGCTCCTCCACCTGCGAGTTCCTACCTTCGACTCGTTCAACTCCGTGCGTAGGTCACTAGACAAGACCGCTTGCTGAGGCCATGTCTTGAAAGAGATCCCAGGACAGCATTGAGAGATGACTGGCGCTTTTCGCGGTCACTCGCTCATGCCTCAGTCTGAAAGCTGAGTTTAGCATGTCAAACAGCAGAACACTGCGCTTACACTTCAGGGGCAGCCCAAAAACTCGTATATCGTTCCATCGTCGAGGGTGTGCGCACAGCTCGACAAACATGGCATGAAAGGATTTTCTGAGGCCGGGCTGACTCAGGATTTCCAGGCCGTACAGAGAGTGGAGCTTGAAAATCCACGCTCTTGCAACCTCAAAAGGCTGATAGCAGCACAGAAAGGGGTCGCCAATCTGCAGCGACGGCCATCAGTGTCATCCAAGCCCCACACACTTCGGAAACTGTCCACTACAGCCTTGACAGGTTCACGGGCAACTCGTGGCAGGCTTGCTGGAAATTGCTGGCACAATCAAACCCTGTCGTGTGTTCAAACGGGGAGATGTTTTTTCGACTCGGTGGCTATAAGTTTGAAACAGGCTGCTTAAATCCGACGATGCTGACTTCCCTGCTGGTTGATGACAGCAACCAAGCGGTGGAACCGCTTCGGCTTGTTTCTCGCATCGTGTGACTTTCCTTGTCGACAATGTCCATTCCGTACAGTTAGGGCCTGGTGCTCAGACAGCGCAGCAAGTAAGCCACCTGGCAGAGCAGCACGCGCTCCCACAGGCTCTGACAGAAGGAACAGTCAGGGCACCCGGACCTTCACCAAGCAAGGCCAAAACACTATGAAGCTGAAGCCTCGCAGCTTCAACATGCGCACAAAGAAATTCATGACCAGGTTGCCCAGCTGCTGAAGGTCCCCGGATCAGAGGCTTAGCGCTTGGGTCCCAGCTCCAGGAGCTCTGGAGAGATCTCGCCGCTCGAGAAGCAGAGCCCCTGTCGCGTCACTTTGTACACCTTCCACCGAAAGTGGTGGAAGCCCTCGCATCTCGGACCTCTCTGCGGGGTTCGGCCGGAGGCCATTCCTCCAGCCAGGCCACCAAGGCCACCTCTGCACTCCAGGAGGAAGATGAATGTGTGAATGTGCGGAAGTATGACTTCTCTGTTCGCAAGGTGCTCCTATCCGTGAGACTGGAGACCGCTGGCGATCCTCATGCAGCGAGGCATTTTGCCCTAAACCGGCCGGTCCTAAGCTTCCAGGCACCTCGTAATTAAAGGTCGCTATAACTCTGCAAAAACCTCAACCTGCAAAAACGTCAACCCCAAAACATCCCAAAACCCTCCAACCCTTCAACCTGCAAATGCTATCACCCATACCGGAGCGGAGGCCCACATCCTGGCCTCGAACTGCGACATCAGATGCCGGAAAACTGGACAGACCTGCACAAACGTTGCAGAAGGAGACGATCTTCCGCAACAAGACGCAGCTGGGAAGGCGTCTTGCCGTTAGTCATCAACCATCATCATCCACTGTAGAATTGACAAGGAGAGGGCTGGACATGCATGTGGCAAAACCATACGGTCCTCGGGTTGCTCTTCGATTGCGAGCTGGAACTTTGCGCAGCATTTCGCCTGGCACCATCTTTCACTTAAGTTCGGTCTGCGATGTCTTCGCCAGTCTTGGCTCCGCATTCTACGCCAATCTGCGGCGCTCAAGGCTTGCGGCCCTGTAAAACATGAACTTTCAGTGACCTATGGCCGCAACAGAAGGAAGACATGCAAGGGCATGCCTCCAAGATGATCTCCTCAACAGCACGTGCAATAAGCAAGTCGGATTGAAGAACCTGCCCTCAAGACGACAAAACGAATTGGCCGCACAGCTCTGGGTTCCCAGCTCCATCTCTGCCACCCGAATCTAAATACTTTTGCAGCCAGGCCTCTGAGCAACTGGATAGCCCTTTTTAATTTTTTCTGCACTTTTTATCAGTCCAGGCCTCCACCGTCGCATCTTCGTGTGGCCTCGAAGCACGGATGAAAGCAGGTTCTGCACTGCACTCGCCTCATGCCAAGCCCCTTCTCTCCTGACTTGCAGTGTTCAGCTTCGGTGGCCTTTAGTTTAATTACAATAATACAGGACCAGCCTCTGATCGAACAGCGAAGGCAGCTCCTGGGCGATGCAAAAGTGCTTATGCCTTGCTGAAGCATACGGAAGACTTCACTGTTCAAGCCTCCACCAACCAAACTCTGCCCCACGGAAACCCTTTCACTACAGGTCTGAGCTAGCAACCTGTAGCCCCAGTCTTGCAGACAAAGCTCAAACTCGACCACAGACTCGGCTTGAGTCTTGGAAACCGGCCTCAAAGGGCTTGGATCTCTTAGCCATTCACTTCATGTGTGTAGGGCTCGGAGCATCGCGAAAATGAAGATGGCCGGTTCGACTGCGATGCCCGAGTGCCGATCGCGACCAGATCCAATATCGCTGCATCGAACTCGACTGCCAGACGCTCGCCTTATTCAAGCAATTCTGAACATACGCTCAGCCTCTTGCGTTAAAGGCATCCCATCCCTTGTGCAAACGGGCACACACACACACAATGTCACACAATTTGGCCTGTTCGCAAACTGGGGCCCGCTAGGACATGGAACGGCTGCGGCCTGCATGGACATGCGGCACAACGAGCATCTTCAAACGGACGTTCAACGGAGGAGGGGAAGATCGAGTTGCTGCATGGCCTGAACTCACGGCCCATGAGGACGAGCGTGGCTCAATTTACCTCTTTGCCTGTTTCGTCCGAGCTGGACTGGGGATTGGATCTTGGGTGTCGTGTGGGCTTGGTGCGCATGCTGCAAGCTTGGTTCTTCATCATGATTAGATTAGATCATTCATAGCCAAGCAGATGTCTACTCAATGTCTGTCTCTTTGGGTTTCACTGTAGTGCTCCCAAAATCTCGATTGGTGGTTGACTGGTGTTGCAGGTTGCACTGCTCACTGGAGCCTGGCTAGAGTGAAGCAACTTCACACGGAAACTGCCTGACCCCGGGCCCGTGCAACAGGTAACAGTGCTGCCGAGGCAATGGACAACTCTCGCATCCTGCTTGCAGCGCACTCTGGCATGTCTATGGATGTGGCTATGGACAGGGATGGTCCTGAAGTGCCCAGAATTTCAAGCAAAAGCGTGCTTGCCAACACTGCCAGTCTAGAGACTGATTTACCTAATTATCGAGACGAAGCACAGCTGTCAGCGATGCATGTTCCACCACCTTTTCTTGGTGCTCTCTTGTGCTGGCTCCGATCCTTTGCTGGTCGCGTCATCAGCGATGCACATACCACCTGCGCAGACTCAGCTTCGTTAAATGCTGCGCGCTTTCTGCCAAAACAGGAAAATCATCGCTGTATCACGCGGTGCCAACAAGGCATTTCATGTCATGCTCTTTGAGGCTACTGGTGCATCTCGCTACTGAGTGCCCTGGCTCGCAAACGTTTCCGAGATGACATCGGCAGATCTCCTGCGACGACAGTGCAGTAATGCATGTGTCTGACCATCTGACTTGGCGGCCTGCCAGCACATCCAGAAAGGAGAAATGTGGAGAAAATTGAGTCAAAGGTGCAGGAGCTACGATCAAAGCATTAGCAGCTCCGAGCTGGCACAGCCCACCAGCCGAACCACGTGCGTTTGCTGATACCGAAGCCTGCCTGTGGGGGCTCGCAGAAGGCGCCACATGCTGAGTCTGGGTGCCTGGCGCATGACTGCCCAGCGACTGCACGTGACAATTTCTGGATTCCGTGAGCTGTGAACAAGTGTCACGCTGCAGACGCGGCAACGTCAAGATCGTCACAGTGCTTTTGTCCTCTCCGTCGTCTGAACTTCTACGCGCGGTTCGTATCTCGTCGAACGCATCCTTGATTTTCTGAAATGCTGCAATGCACTCCTTAGCACAAGCTGCCCATGCTATGAAGGTGGCAAGCACAGGAGCTTGGAATGCTGGCATAACATCTAGGTTTGATGCAGTCGTGTCTCTGAACTCTCGTTCCCAAGCGCGTGCGCCAGCGCGGTCCAACGGCGTCGCAACTGACGAATGGAAACATCTGTAGGGACACCAAGCCTTGGCAACCACGTCCCAGCTGCAAGTGGAGCCCCACGCCCCGCCGGATTATCGAGAGCCAAGTAGCACCTCGTGAGCCTCGCTGGCTTCCAAGATCCGCCGCGCGATTTGTTGTGGTGAGGCCTATAGCAACACAGAGAGTGCTGGGACCTGCTAAGACGAAATACGTCACTCAGCCAAGCAGTGCTGCAAGACAAACCAGGAAGGGCCGAAATCCAAAAGCCGCAGACCAAGATCTCGAAAGTTTAGAATGCCCGGACCCCAAGATTTCAGCTTCGCTTCCTTGAAACTGGGAACCTCTGCAGAAAGCTCCTCTGGCAGCTTGGGGCTCTTTGACGAGAACTGCCGACGGCCGAAGAGGTAGGTATCCTCGGTGCAGCCAGCCGGGCAAGCATCGGAACCTAGTTCGGTCGTCCCTGCTGTGCTCGCCATAGTCAGGAGCCGGAGGTTCCTTCCTCAAAAAAAAGACCGTACATGGAGAATTTCGGTCATGCGGTATGTGCCCCGGCTGTCATACGCACATCTATCTACGTAAAATGCACAACTCATTTCTCGCAGTCGTTGCACCCACCTTCCTGACCGACACATCACAATTTCAACTTCCCTGGCCACGCCTGGTAATGCCCCTCCACAAGCTCGACGTGCAAGCACTCCTTGCCTCAAGGCTTCAGGTGCACCAGTCACGACAACTGTTAACGACTGCTTTGGGAAGACAGGTGCAGTGACAGCATCGGGACGACGACCCCGTTCGAAGTATCTGCAGGCGCACAAAACATTCAGCGACTGTGTGCCTCAGCGCCGGACGCTCTGCCAACAGACCACGAAAAAGATTGCTCGACCACATGCGAAAGCGAGGTGCCAATGTGGCCTGTCGCTTGCATCAGTTCTGACAACAGCTTTGCTGTTCCTCTGCGCGTCGGACCCAGCTGTGTTGCATCGTCCCTTCAAGTCGGCCCGACGATTCTGATTCGATTGGCTGGCAGCATCATTCTGCTTCATGGGGCCAACATGGGCAAACATGACCCAACTATTCGTCGCAAAGTCCTTTTATCGCTTCGGAGGGCCTTGGCCGGCCCGTTCCACACATTCTTGTTGTACTTCCCTCTTGCGCAGACCTGGCCCCATAACACATCCCCAGACAAGGCGGTCAGCCGCTGTTCTCGCTGGCCTCAGCAGCTGCAAAGGTGTGGGTGCCAAGAGTCCAGCGGGTTTGGCTCTTCGCCTCGGAGCACGATAACATTGCCTTTGTTGGCTAGTTGTGTTCGTATGCCCAGCCACATACTGTAGCGGTGGAAGACAGCAAGGCTTCCTGAGGACGTGGGTTGAACTGGACATGCTCTGCTAGACTCTGGCAGTCCCAGCATGCATCAAGCAGTGTTCGATTGCATCTCCCCGACGGTGACAAGAATCAACGCAAAGGCGACACACTTGGGCCCGATGTTGAAGGTTTCCACCGCTCGGATGGCTAGGATACCTGGGTACATCAGCATCATCTCAAACTTTCTGAGCACCCGTACACGGTTGCGAGAACCTGCAGAGGCGAGCACCACACAGGTGGATGCCAAGCACCACCACCGGCCCGGGCGCTGGCTCCAAGATTCCTTGGATTTCCAAGTTTGTGCCAGCTCTGCCATACGCTGACTCGACTGGTTCAAAGCAAAATGGGTCTCACACTGCGGGCAACAAACTGCAGCACCTGATGTTGCAAGCCCTGCGGCGGGAGAGAATTTGCGCTTGGGTGGATGGTAGTTTCAGATCAGATCTGCGCGTAACAAGGGGAACTGGCCAAGGAAGATTGTAAATGTGATCCCAGTTCCTTGGCAGGAAATGCGGGAGGCTTCATGTGCTCTCAACGCATCACTACAAGGAAAACAACGGACTCCTGATCATCCGGGTTGAGGGAGGGAAGTGCAAGTGTGGCCAGAGCACCGTACAAAGGACTAGTTGTACTGTTTTACTTTTGCTACTTGCATCATATGCCCTATCCGGCTGGAAGGGCGCAGCGGCCAGCGAAGCAACCATGCAAGAGTCAAAAAAGCTGAAAACCCACCCCGTGAGCACGCCAAGTACAAGCTAGAGCAAATCTCTGGCCAACTCTCATTATATGCTGACTACAACCAGGCCGCAGTCGGGTGCGATGTTTCTTGCTCTGTTGCGGCTCTGGGACTCCACCTGCAAGTGAAACGATGACGGCACAGATGTCAAGGAAGTGGGCTGCTGCCGGCCCTGTACTCCAACAGAAAACGCGCAAGCTGATCTGTGAGTATTGTGGGGAAGGTCTACGCAGCCACTGCTGTGGGGCAAACGATTCCAACGAGACACGAAGCTGTTGCTCAGGAACCCTTTCAAAGTCATTCATCATTGACCCGAGATCGATCCATGGATATGTGCCAAAGCAGTTGCGGCCTTTGAGAGGCCACGCTTGGTCCACAAGAACACAGCCCTCGGTGAAGCTGGAACATCCAAGAAAGTCAAGAAGGAGGTGTAGTACTTGGTCAGTCGCTACTCCCTCGCATGCCCTGCACGCCGTTCCCTCCAACCCCAGCGCAAGGAGGGCTCTTGCAGCGCTTGAGGTTCTGAACATGGCCTCTACAGCTCAGGGCACGACACGTAGCCGCAGCGGTAGCCGGCAAAGGCATGCCGAAGCGGCTAGCCCCGGATGACTTGAACTAATTACGTCCTCTGTCCCTTCAACCTGCCACACCACTATGCACTCGTTGCTGATCAGCAGCATGCACTCGTGCAGCTGGCAGCAGCTCCGCCAAGAACATGCCGAGAAACCCGAGGCCAGAGCACAAATCCTAGCACAAAACGGTTCTGGCGGTGCTATGTCTCCTCTCTGCTCACCGCCAGTGCATCAAATCTGTACTGCTGGTATCAAGCATTGACATTGACATCAACGCTTCTTGCCATCACCTGTCTGCCCTTGACAAGAGTCCACGATCGTGATTGGCCCATCAGCTGGATCAAGCTCCTCATGTGCAAAGCTGCGAATTGCTGCAGGCTTGCCGTCATCTATCCAGAAGCGAGGTGCAGCCAGGCAGTCTTGCACGAATGCAATGGTGGGCACGGCCTCTCGAGCTTCCTTGCAACCGCCGGCCGGTCAAGATTTTTATTGCTATGCCGTTGGACTGAGCAGTACCGGTACAGCTGGACAAAGCAGGTCTATGCAGGTCTTGCCGCTGATGCAGCACGACTTATCTCAGAGGACCCCGGACTCCTTGATGAGCGTAGAGCAGTTGTCCCTCGCAAGCCGCCCCTTGGAACTTGACAAGAAACTCCACGTGCTGCGTTGCGGTGCCGTTAGTTGCTATCGAGACCAGCGGCCCAGAGAGGAGGTGGAAAACGACTCCGCCAGGAGCAAGCAGCCTCCGAGTCCGAGTACACGGAAGTGGTTCCGACAAAAGGGATTCTGTTCATCCCAATGTGTTCCTTCATCAGGCAGGCCACCCTGGCCTCTGCTACGCGTTGGCAAGTCTCTGGAAACCTAGGAGGCTGTTCCAGGCCGGGTGTGGCGAAACCCCAGCCTCACCACACTAGAAATTGCTGTTCTAGGCCTAGGCTCTCTGAATAGAGCGTTATGATCTCTCTTCGAGTCACCGTTCCCCCAGGGCGCCATCGCAAAGCCGGCCCCGGAGCCACGTATCGAAGTCCTGGAATTTCAGACAAGTCTCAGCACACAGAGAGTGCGAATTGCTTCAGGATGCTTTTTGGAATTCAAGCAAGTGTTTCCCAGTGTCCTCGCGCGGCGCATGTTCCACTTCCTCGCGACCCGGCAGCCTCCAAGCCGGGCAACATTTTGCAATACGTGTATCTCCGCACACAGAAAGAAATGCTGTCAAGCCCGGCTGCGAGACAATGCCCAGCTCGGCTAGGTAGTCCAGCTGCATTGAATCATCGCTCGGTGAAATCTGGAAGTTTCAAAAGAGTCCCCTTCGGAATTTTCACGTTGACAAGTATGCTGCGCCATTGCTACTGCAGTACTTTTGCATCACATCACCTCTCTGATGGCTGCGGGTCCAGATGTGCACAAAACCAAACCTGCTTGCAGCAAGCACGTGTACTGGCAGAGGCTCCGCCTTCGTCCGGATTGAGTGGTTTGCGACTGCTACCTGAAATTTCAGGTGATCTGCCAACAACGAACTCACAAAAGGATGCTCGTACAAATGGGGCTTGCCGACACCCTCACATTCATGGGAGGCTACTACGAGGAGATGAAACTGTGCAGCACGTGAAACCTACCCCCACTGCCTCAGAAGGCGGGGTCTCGACGGGTGGTTGATCCTGTGAAAAATTTCATGGCAGAGGGGGTGCAAAGAAGTTTGAGAGACGCACAATACTGGAAGTCCATGAGCGGCGGCACTTCAGACCGGGCTCCTCCACTTCGATGGCTCTATTCAGCCTAGCAGCGATTCTTGTACGGCCATAAGATTTCTGCCGAATGTGCTCTACGCAACAGCGGGCCTGTTTTGCTTTCTGGCGGCAGCACGGGCAGCTGCGCCCTTGCAAGCTAGGCCCGGCTGTTGCACCCAGACTCCCAAACCCGCGGATTGGGACAAGTCCGGTTACCATCTGCCTCACGCGACCAGAATGGTGCACTGGCTGTGCCGGGAAGGGTTTCGTGCTGTGCACCTGCGGCTAGGCAAGCTAAGCAGTTAAGCGACGGACACCAGATACCTGTGACATCCTCCGCCTCCGGTTCCGGCGTCGCCAGAGGTACCGGAATTGTACGTGGGCGTGTACCTGCCGGCGCCGCAGGTGACAGCAAGACGTGCATGCCTACAAATGAGCAAAATCAGACCTGCAGCACGCCTCCTCCTATTGTTCTACCCAAGATCCACACTGTAAGAGAATGCCAAATGCAGCGCATCAAAGACACCACTGCGGGCTGCACCAGTCCCAAGCGGAGTTCTCTCCCAACGCCGCGCGCCTTCACAAGGTTTCACACTCCGACAGCTTGAGTCCATCACCGAGTAGATCTGCATTCTCATCTCTGCTCTTGCAGGTCAGCCTTCTGCAGCTCTACCACCTTCTGCCGGCTTGAGTCAAAATTTTTCGCATTCACCCAGCCAGCTTGTGGCACGCTTGTTGACTGGCAGAGTGGACATCGGTGTCCGTCTAATTAGATCCTGGCATGCCGCGGCATGCCAGAAAATGCATGCAAGAAGAACATCTGCAATCTCGCCAAGCTATCGCCAAGCCGTGTTGCAAGGAGACCTACCACGGCCATCTAATTCACAAAAAACTGATCGCATGCCCTGCAGCGACGATATGCCAGAGTACATGTACTAACAGTGCATCCACTGCCAGCAAGATAACGGCGCGGGCGATTGACACAGACACACACACACACACACACACACGCGGACTTACCGACCGACTGACTGAGCATATCTTTCCAGCTGCGGCATGCACTCAGCCGCAGATGCCAAGCCTGAGCAGGACTCTCTCTCTAGCTCGGAATGAAACAGAGTCGACTTCTCCCATCAAACCGAGCCACTTCTTCAGGCATGCTGCAGCTTCTGCAACTCCTTCACAGGCTTTCGGAGCCAAAGCCTTGGGACTGCTGCGTTGAACATGACTCGGATTGTCTGGCTTTCTGGTCTACCAAAGCTCAGCCAGCCCCGGTGGGCTCGCACATCCCACCAATAAAGCAAGTGGCAGCGACCGCTGCCCGACCAAGATTGCCTCTGCCCTTGGTGGCCTGATGTCCCAGGGCTCCGCTCAGCTCTGTTTTTCTTTTTTGCAGACCAGGCGCCTCTGCCACGCTGCAGAGCGTCGTCAAGGAGGGCTTCCGCACGTCAGCGTGCCAATCTGAAGCTGTCAGGGCCAGCCTCGGCTGACGAAAAGGTCCTTTCGCACATCGAGTGCACGCACGTCGAGTGCGCACGCGCACTAAAGACTACGGTTCACTCAAGCACGCATGGAGGTGCAAATTCATCTGGGCGTTGCCTGACTTCCCACGCAGCTCTGGTGTCTGGCTACAAGGCAGGCCAGCTCGGACATGTGTGTGAAGAACGGAACGGCTCAGCCCGAGGCGTTGCAAGCAGCCCCTCCTCACAAATGGTGTCACTCTAGCTTAAGACGGGGAACTGTCAAGAGTCAATTCGTCAGGTCCAAGTCCAAGACTTAAGGTAAGAACCGATCACTGCATTGTGCCTGATCGCGTGGAGAGGCGCGACAGGGCTTTCTGAGGAGCTCGGCACCTTGGGCAAGGGCAAGGTGCAAATAACGCCTTCCCAAACAGTACAGATGGAGAAGGTCGCAAACCAAAGCTAGGGGTGCTACGAATCAAGCTGAAAATGCAGATGCAAAGAATATGTTTCCGCCCGTCGAGCCGGCAAACTGTACAAGCCATAAAGGGCACCTACCTCGTATCAACCGGGCGGTCAGTCCAGTCGAATTGATCAACAACTGTTGGGCTTGAGCCACAGGATCCTGATCAGCAGTTTTTGGCTACATCAGGGGCTTCTTTCTGTCAGTGCAGTCTGAGACATCAGGGGCGACTCGTCTCTTACCGGAGAGCCCGCACTGGGTTACTATCACTTGACAGCTGATCGGGAATTGCTAGTGCGAATGGCTGTGAAAACTCTGAGAGGCTGCGATCTTTGGCACGCATGCCGCAAGACCCATCACTGCCCATCACCGAGGCTCAGTGTCCATCTTCGAGGAACATCTGTGGCGAGGCTGCGCTGAGTCGCGGAACATCTCGGTACACGAGCCAGAAAGACGAAAGATTCATGAAGAGGCACGTGCATTCTGCTCACTTTCCGCGCTGCATTCAGTCGAGGAGCTGCTCGGATTGACCAGCTCTTTGACGGGTTGCTGATGGATAGTCGATGCCATGATCAAGGCGGAGCGTTCCACTCTTTCGATAGGGTTGACATTGTCCTCGTGCCGGTGTGGCTCGCTGGTCACGTGGCGGGGGTACGCTCAAGCGGTATATGTAAAACAAAGAGGGGAAGTAGACAGAGACAGAAAGAGAGAAAAAAGCTTCATGCATACTCACAATCTCTCACATACATACATACATACATACGTACGTACATACATACATACATCCATACATACATACCTATACTACATACATACATACATACATACATACATACATACATACATACATACGCACATCTTCCCGCGGCAAGAGGTCCTTCCGAGGCGGTCGGTTGACGAACATCCTTGATGCGCGGCTCTTGCGTTGAGAGCTGATGCAGAGGCGCGCTCACCCCACCAGCCGACTCGAAAGTCCAAGCGCTGGCAGGGTGGCGAGCTCCAAATGAGTAAAGAGTTTCGGAGCCGAGTAGTGTAAAGACATACAGGTAGGAGTTCCTTTTGTGCTCTCAGCGTTGTCATCGTTAATTAAGAAGCCAAGCAGATTTGCGACAGGTACCGGTTCGGAATTGTCCCGAATTTCGGCTTTGTCCCAAGTGCACGATTATAGCTTGCAATGCAGGCAAACGGGATACATACATTTTTTAGGACTCGCGCTCGACCAGGTCAAGAGAGGTTTGTAGGGTCTTAGCAGCAGCCTGAACCTCTTCTCGAGCCTCCACATCCTGGCTCCGTGCATACTCAGCCAGTTCAGTACATACATACATACATACATACATACATACATACATACGTACATACATACATACATACATACATACATACATACATACACACATACATACCTACATACAAGCTACATACGCATACAGACACACATACGTACATACATACATGCATATACACATGCATGCCACCATACATGCTACTTATTTGCATGCCTGCACGCCTACACCCCTACATGTCGGCGTACATGCCTTCATACCTACACGAACGCACAGACGGACGGACTTTTGACTTGCTTGGTCCCAGTTGCCGACTGACAGATGCACTCGCCCACTCCCTCACTGACTGACTGACATATTTGCATCAATCACACAATCCTTAAAAGACATTGTCAGTGTGTGTGTGTGTATGTGTCGAAGTCTCCGTATCTGCTGACTCCCACGTAATCCCACGTATACAGTCCGGAAATAAGCAAACATAATAAAGAACTAACTTTATGTCTTTTGTACATATACATGTAGACTTAGGTGTGCGTGCATACTTACACGTATATATATAGATATATATATATATATGTGTGTGTGTGTGTACGTGCACATCGGAACGCCACATATACAAATAACATCAAATAACATTCATCCGTAGACCTGGGATGACCTGGGTATATCTTCACATCTGAATGATGCATGTTCCAATGCACAATGTACATCTACCCATGTGCTGTGTGTCTGGACTGCAATACTTGGATGGGCATCATGGCGTACAGCTGTAAGGGAAGTCAGTGGAAAGCGGTGCTTTTACCACATACCTGCTTGTACTTCTGGCAGACACCGCCGTCTCCATACTTGATCCAGCACATGATTCAAAACATCTACAATTTGGCGGGCACACAGTCAGAACTTCCTGCTCCACTGCATATCTTCCCTACTACACTGCGACGCTAACACGGTCCTGAACTGCACAGTCCGTGACGGTCTTCGTAAAACCTGCACCCATGCGGCAGCAAGAAACACACGGGCTTCTTAGGAGGACTGTCTAAACACTCGAGACCACAATGACAAGACAATTTGGAAGCTTTCTACTGCTGCCCCAGCCACAATGCGTCGCTGCGATGACAATGTGAAGAGTGGCATCACTGAGCTCAATAGCTCCCGATCTGGGCGACCAGCGCCATGCAGGGCAAACACGACAGTCACGACAGAAGCAGGATAACTACATGATTTCATACCGCAAAGCCGACACACGCAACGGTGATTTGCCTGAAGCTGACTTCAACTGATCTGCGCTGCCTGCGTCTACAAACAAATCCTTGGCGATTTCGAATGTCAAC